ATGATTAAGTTCATTCTTCCATTCTCCTCATTCTCACTTCTTCTTCGTCCCTGCAAATAAGAAAAGATTAGAATACCACAACCGGTATCAAGGACCCAAGAGTTAGAATTGGGTGAGTTATTACATAAGGTAGTGTAAATACCTGCATGGTTGGGTTTAACTTTCCCATCCTTCACGTGTTGCTGGTACATTGGGCAGTTCCGCTTCCAATGAGACTTTTCATGACAATAGAAGCATTCAACCTCTTTTGCGTTAGAAGAAGGAGTGGCGAAACCTTTCTTGGTTCCACTTGAAGAAGAGCCATCAAGGTTCCTATCCTTGGTAACCTTCAAAGTTCTGTTTCTTTTCTTCCCTCTACCTTTCCCGATTGTCAAGACAGGGGCAGAGTTTGGAGTAGGAGTGTTAAAAATCGACTTACCTTTAAGACCTATTTCTGCGGTCTTGAGAAGTCCCTGAAGTTTGCTGAGTGTGACCTCTTCCTTATTCATGTGATGTGTCATGTGGAATTGATCATAGTACAATGGTAAGGAGTGCAAAATGATATCTATTGCAAGCTCCTCAGGGAATTTCACATTAAGCTTCAACAACCGATCCACATACCTTTTCATTTTCTACATGTGGCTCGTGACGGATTCCTCGTCCTTCATCATGGTTGTTTTGATGGAGCGGATGATTTCACACCTCTCTTGTTGTGCTCTTTGATGGTATCTTTCCATCAGATCTTGGTGCATTTCGAAAGGGTAAAAGTCCTCATAGGACTTTTGGAGTTCCGCTGTCATGGTGGCCATCATGATGCATGCTACTTTGGTAGCATCCCTCTCATGTGCCTGGAACTCAGCGTTCTCTTGGGGAGTTGCAGTGGTCTCATCAATCTCCTTAAGCTCCTTATCGAGGATATATTCTTTGTCCTCGTAGTGGGTAATCATCCTGATGTTTCTGATCCATTCATTGAAGTTGGATCCATAAAAAGTGACTTTCCCACATAAGTTCATAAGGGTGAAGGAGCCATTAGGATTAGAGCTAGAAGCAGTGTTGTTTGAAAACATCTGAATGAAGAGAACATGATTAGTTTATATATTGAGAGAGTCCTTAATAAAACACCCAAATGTAATATTAAGGCTAGGATCTAATCACAATATATTATAACTTAGAAGAGGTATGCCGCAATCCAAGCTATAACATATTTGAAAGGTAGGTGAATGACGATTCACCAATTTCCACCATGAAAAACGAAATATTCATATTAGGTTTTTAGTTGGTTCTTAGAAATTCCTAGATTCTTTTGAGATTCAATGAAATTTTCAAAGGTATGTTTCAATCTCGAGTGTGCCCTCCAAGTTTTGTGATTGAGATGCCGAGGATCACAAAACGAGGTGTGAATTAACCATGCAAATCACTTGGTACCTTTAAAGTTTATCACTTAATCGATATGCCGGTAAACCATACACACTCTACCGATACTATGATAAACCTTAAGTCACCCTATACCTACCTTGTTAAGTCCAAGTTAGTGTGTCGGTTAACCACACATGCTCCACCAACGACTTAAACAAAGTGTAAAGTGTAATTTCATGGATTAACACCTTATTAACATTTTTCCTAAAGTAACTAAGATTGGGAATTTAATAAAAGCATTTAGTTACTTTATAATATTCATCATACTTTTAATGAGAACATATAAGTCATTGTCCTACCCGTTTGGCTAACGACCCTCCACTAATCAAGGAAGCGGTGGGTGAGAGTGGACACCCATTAAGTTTCCATTTTATAAGAAACAATCTTATACCCCCCCCCCCCCGTTATAGACTGGCTTCGTGAATGAGGCGTAGTAGCGGTAAGCCGATTTGATACATATTATTAACTTACAATATTATAAAGTATACAGGTTGAATTTTAACTTTTAAAATTCTAAGGGTTGGAACTAAAGTTTTAATCAAGACTTTACTTGTTCCAAAACTTGAAGGCAAGTTTTGTAAACTTTCAAAACTTTTCATTTCTTATAACTTATGAATTAATTGAGTAATAAAAATCAAGACTCTTCATTTTTTATAACTCTTGTGTTCTTTTAATGGCTTTAATAAAAGTGTGACTTTTGGTTTTCCATAACTTGAGGACAAGTTACGGACTCCATTAAAACACATTATGATCATGAATTAAACTACCATGAAGGTTACAAGCAATTCTTATAATCATCTAATCTTCATAAGTTCAAGAACATGAATATGAACACTTTCAAGAATAAAAAATTTCACTTAAAAACTTGTAATTTTGATTATTGCCATTGTAAATGGATTAGCATAAACATTACACTATCTAAAACAAGTTTTCAAGTATCAAAACATTTTAGGGTAATGTTTCTTGTCCATTTCCAGCAACAAAAATCGAAAATATGCTTTCAGGGCCTCCTACTCGTTGAGTGCATGAACCTACTTGACGAGTAGGATGAAGATTCACTTGGACTCGTCGAGTCCCCCCATGGACTCAACGAGTTCACTGATCAAACAGCAAGATGTTTCAATTTTTTTTAACACAATTTTGCACAAATAACAAAAAAACAAGCCTAGGCTTTGATACCACTGATGGGTTTTGAGCATTCTAACACTTCCTAAGTGTACATGCAACCATAATAACCTTGGATCTATGTTTTTATAATTATCATGCAAAGTTGAATTCCAAGGTTATATTCCTATCTAGCATACATGGGGAAATTTTTTAACTTGAATGAAAGATAGAATAACTTACCTTGTTGTTGATTATGATCCTTGAATCCTTGTGAGCCTAGCACCCCAAGTGTGATGCCTCAATTGCTTCACACAATACCAAATGCCTTTGGAATGACCTTTGAAAGAATACACACACTTGAAAATCGGCCTAGCCCTCTCTTATACTTGTGTAGCCGATTTTGGTGGAGAATGAGTTCCTTATATAGTGTTGACACATCTAGGGTTACACCATGTAAACCTTAATGTGTCATGACTCTTCATTTCCATGACCCATGGGTTTGTAACTCCCATGGAGCATCATATGGGTTTAACCCAACTTGATTATCAATGGAGCCTCTTAACCCATTATACAAGTTATGGATGATTTACATAATCAACCCATATATTTAATTAGTTATCTTTTGATCACTTAATTAATTCTAAATTAACTCTTGATCAAACTAATTAAATAATACTATTAATATATTAGAACTTATAATATATTAATAAACCACAAGTGTTATGTCTCTAATTTAGTCCATCCAATTGCATGGTGCCATGCAACCTAAATGGACCATGCCTGGTCGGGTCAAGTACATACCATAAATTGTTATGGACTTAGACACCTTATCCAACAGTAGTAACGTACCGGTGACAACAGTAGGCTCCCGGATGGCTTCACCTTGTGCCATAATCAAAACTCTTCCTGATCCTCCAGTTCCTTGATTGTTAACATTGGGGAAATTGCGCCTGAAATGCCTAGTTCTCACGCATCCATAACATGTATTAATGGCCCCAACATTGGTGTTGTTCTTGTTTTTGTTGTTTGGCATCTGGTTCTGTGGAAGTTGAATCCTACAGTACTTTGCTATATGACCTTTCCGATTGCACCATATGCAAACCATCTCTCAGCATTCCCTATGATGATGGTAGTTGCATTTGTTACATTTGGGGAGATTTCCTGAGTATTACTTCGGGTTATTTTGTGTGGATGAGGCTGGAGCATGTAGTGTGGTGACAACTTGAGTAGCAGCATGGACAGTCACAGTTTGTTGTTTCTTCGATGATTCAGAATTTTGATTTCCCTTTTGCTTGTTGTTTTTCCCCTTCTTGTTCCCACCTTCTTTCTTAACTTCCACTTCTCCTGTTTTGGTGCCCTTCTTGTTGCCGTGATCGTACAATTTCTTGGCTAGCCTCTTTGCGCTATCATACGTGGTTAGGTTTTCTACAATGATATTTCCTTAGATTGTTGCGGTCAATACTTAGATAAATTTGTCGATCTTCTTCCCTTCAGATGTGATCATTCCATGACACAAAAGAGACAACTTACTAAACCTTGTTATGTATGCATCAATGCTAGAGTTTTGAACTGTGAGGTTCCACAGTTCTTGTTCTAATTTCTGAATTTCTCCTCGGGGATAGTACTCAACTAACAACATCTCCTTAAGTTCCTCCCATGGTATCGCGTTCGCCACCGGGAGCGTCATGGCCTTTATGTGAGCATTCCACCAGGAGAGGGCTTGATCAACAAACGTTCATGCCACAAACTTGACCTTAGACTCATCTGGAGATCTACAAATTTTAAACACCAATTCCACCTTCTCAATCCATCGTTTCAAGGTTATTACGCCTCCCATCCCATTGATGGTTTGAGGCTTGGCGTTGGTGAAATCCTTGTATGTGCAAGTTCTTACGGTTCCTTGGTTTGTCCCTTCATTTGTGCTTACAGTTCCCTGTACGTTGCCTTCCTCGTTCTTGCCGTTGCGAATTTGCGCAAGCATTGCAGTGACCGCAGTGGATACTGCTACTTGGAATGCGACTGAGTTTATATATGGTGGCGTTGGTGTCGCGTTGTTGCCACGGTTTAGTCTCTGAGGTATCTTTCGATCGCGGAACAGAGAGATGATTACTATATATTGCATTCCCAGGTTAGAATGCCGCTAACTCGGCGAATCCATTTGTGTATCTAAGTGATTCCATGTATTAATAGAAAATAAGAAAGTAAAACACATAGCAGATAACAATGTCACGATAAAACACAGCATTTTCATTCATAATAATCGTTTTTAATACATGAAAATTTGCCCAAAAGGCATACGGTACATAGGAAAACATATGATCCGTCAGCATGACGACACTATGAGTAGTGTAATCACATAAACATAAGGTCGATAGTACATAAAGTAACACATAAAAAAATACATAATACTAGCAAGAGATATGGTGGGTCCTACAAATAGTAGCACTCATAATAGTAAATAGAGGAACGAATCCTATCAGTAGTGATGACGAGGACGCTTAATCATCGAGCTGACTTATCATAAGTTCGGCCACATCGTTCACCTCTTGGGTGATTACATCTTCCCTTTGCTCGGCCCGAACGGCTCTAGCTTCGGCCGCAAATAGTTGCCGCTTGAGATTGGTTATTTCTTCCTTAAGGGAGCGTATATAGTCTGTATCAGTCTCCTGAATCGTGGGTGGATCTCACAGGACTTCCGAGGGGTGGGGTTCACTAGGTGCCTCATTCAAATCTCCATCCTCCCTGGTGACCTCATCGGATTCCTCAAAATCATAGTCCGTATCCACGTATTCTTCGGGCCCATCACTGGGGGCTACCTCCACCACGGGGTCTTCCTCAACTACCCTGTGGAACACTAGGTTCTGGTAGAAAACAATGCTTTGATGCGCTCCATCCATGGTGGCTACGCGAGAAGCTGGGGGTGAGTAGTGTGTATAGGGAGTGGATATATAATATTTTCAAAATGCTCCTATGATATATTTTAATCATTTAAGTTTGGGTTCCTAGAGTTATTTGGGAATGCGGTAAGCTTCTAGATTCATTTCCCGCTATGATTACGCCCAAGCACATGTTTGTCATATTTTGAATAAATATAGTTGATCAGGCTATATTTATCCCCAATATGACTACATAATTGTTCGGGTTTAATCTTAGTGTTCAATTTCCTCCAAAGGCTTTTAGTGTTATTGATTTAATGTATACTTAGGTATGCATTTATTCAGAGTGCTTTATTCCCATTATATTTATAGTTGCATATCATGTATGGTTTAACATGCCAGTTCACTATAAACAATGCTCTGATACCAACCTATCACACCCTCGAACCAGACGGCGGATACAAGAGATCCCAAGACATAGTCTTCAATCATGAAAGTGCAATAGATCACAAAATCAATCGTTACTATCTGATACAAGAGATCCAAGCAAAAATGGACCTTCAAAATACTTATGCCCCATCGACCCACCCGCGCTTACCAACGCTAAACTACTCTCTCCAATCCCGGCGACCAGCTTACCCTAAGCTAGAATACAACCTGATCCTGGGGTCACTAGCCTGCTCAATCCTTTGAGCTTTAAAAAGATGAGAGGCACAGTTCTTGCCCTACAAAATGACAATCCAATCCATCAATTAACCATTCCACTTCCAGCTACAAAACCCCAACTGAACATAGTCATCCCTCCTTTTCGGAGTCCCCACCATTCTCATTCCGGCCTCGAGCAAACCCTCAAGCCAAAAATCTAGAAACTCATGTACTAGCGTCTCCCACTCAACCCGCGGAAATATAACGAGCACATATCATCTCCCTCATCCCAGATAACTGCAGCCCTCTGCTCATCGGAACATGTGCCAATAACAAGTCCCGATACTGGAAAGCTCAACCAGCTCCTCTCCTGCCGGTGATACAGCTACTGAAGCTACTGCGGCCGCCGTCTCCGCAATGACTGCATAGTGCTCGTCAAAATACTCAACCATGGTTGTCTTAATAGACCTAAACATCCTCGATAACTGTCCTCGGACAATCTTGATCACCTCCTCCCGGATGATCTCACCGACATGATCCTCTGGCAATACTGGCCTATCCTGGATGCCAGCTCCCAATCCTGATCCGGATCCGGTCTCAAAACTTTGCGTAACCACAATTTTGGTAATACACCAGAGAGATCTGATGGGTTTTGAGCATTCTAACACTTCCTAAGTGTACATGCAACCCTAATAACCTTGGATCTATGTTTGTTTAATTATCATGCAAAGTTGAATTCCAATGCTATATTCCTATCTAACATACATGGGGAACAATTTTTAACTTGAATGATAGATAGAATAACTTACCTTGTTGTTGCTTATGTTCCTTGAAACCTTGTAAGCCTAGCACCCCAAGTGTGATGCCTCAAATGCTTCACACAACACCAAATGCTCTTGGAAAGACTTTTGAGAGAATACACACTACTTGAAATCGGTCTAGCCCTCTTGTTTCATATGTGTACCCGATTTTGGAGGAGTATGGGATCCTTATATAGTGTTGACACATCTAGGGTTACACCATGTAAAGCCTAATGTGTCATGAATCTTCATTTCCATGACCCATTGGTTTGTAACTCCCATGGAGCATCCTATGGGCGGAACCCAACTTGATAATCCATGGAGCTTCTTAGCCCATCATACAAGATATGGATGATTTACATAATCAACCCATATATTTAATTATTTATCTTTTGATCACTTAATTAATTCTAAATTAATTCTTGATCAAACTAATCAAATAATATTATTAATATATTAGAACTTCTAATATATTAATAATCTCCAAACGTTAATTCTCTCATTTAGTCTATCCAATTGCATGGCGCCATGCAACCCAAATGGACCATGCCGGGTCGGGTCAAGTACATACCAGAAATAGTTATGGACTTAGACACCTTATCCAACAGTCTCCCACTTGGATAAGTCTAATAACTATTACTGCAAGTATGACTTCAGGAGCCGATCGACAATTGTAGCTCTTTTCAAGGTTTCTCGGAACTGAGAAGATGATGGTACGCCATTTAAGATAAGTGATCATATAATCCTCTGTTCTAGATATCAGTCGGACAAATACATGGAACAATGTCTTACTTATTGTCCAACAGTTTGTTTCCCGATTTCCGATTTGTTTGACAAAGAACTTAATTGAACACATCAACTTAGTTCTGACCGGGCCCGGTACATAGGTCAAAACAGAATCATCGAGGGGCCCAGATATCAGCTTCTAATCCAAGAAGGAACATATAAACTTCAACTCATATGTTTGTTCTACCACTCATTGAATTATACACAAAAGCACGTTTTATACCGTCGAGTTACCAATGCGTTTTTGTACAATCAATGCATAACCAACTTGTAAGTAACAAATCATATCTCTAGGTTTGAAGACTTATATGATATTACCGTCTCACGATCACTCGAGATAGAATTCCATGAAGTGATTCTAGTGAGCGTGGGTTGAGTCCAATGCTCAGAACTTATGAGCACTCATGATTGTTGTAGCCTTGTCCAACACCTTAGACCTCTGCAACCAATCATGATAGTCTTGATTCATACCTACTTCCGACATATGACCGGCTGTGGCGGTTTGAATAATATGTTATACCAAACAAAATTATTCTGGAAGTCAAAACTTGCAAAAGAAATACAGTAAACGATTGACAAGAGATAGCAACACTTTACTCATAAATAAAACACCTTTTATTCATCATCTAATATCAATTACACTTTACAAATTTCGAGGTTATTTAACTACTAAATCTAATATCATCCTTCAGCCCTATGCTCCGAGCATGCTGGAGATGCTTATCCCGAGTCAGTCCCTTTGTGAGGGGATCTGCTGGGTTCTCATCTAAGGATACCCTCGTTTCCATGAGGAGTCCTTCTTCAATTCGATGTCTGATAAAATGGTATTTTCTATCGATGTGCCTGGATCTCCCGTGATCCCTTGGTTCCTTGGCTAAGGCAACAACACTTTCACTATCACAGAAAATTTCCATTGGCTCTTTAATAGCTGGTACAACTCCAAGGTCTCCGATGAAGTTCTTTAGCCATATAGCCTCCTTTGCCACTTCGCTCGCTACAATATACTCTGATTCACAAGTTGAATCATCCACTGTCTCTTGCTTGGAACTCTTCCAAGAAATTGCTCCTCCGTTTAGGGTAAAGTCCCAGTCCGACTGAGGGCGAAAATTATCCCTATCAGTCTGGAAGCTAGCATCACTATACCCTACAACTCTCAAGTCACCACTCCCACCGAGGGTAAGGACCCAGTCCTTAGTCCTCCGTAGGTACTTGAGGATATTCTTTACCGCAGTCCAGTGTGCCTTGCCAGGGTTCCCCTGATACCTGCTAACCATGCTCAGGGCAAACGCTACATCAGGTCGAGTACACGTCATAGCATACATGATCGATCCTACAGCCGAAGCATAAGGTATTCGACTCATTTCTGCTATCTCAAAATCAGTGCTATGGGTTTGTGTCTTACTCAATCTGGCGTTACTCTGGATGGGTAACTCTCCTTTCTTGGAGTCCTACATGTTGAATCTCTTCAGCACCTTATCCAAGTAGGTACTCTGACTAAGTCCAATTAGTCTTTTACTCCGATCTCTCAAGATCCTTATCCCTAGAATATAGGCAGCTTCACCAAGGTCCTTCATAGCGAAACACTTCCCAAGCCAGGACTTTACTTCCTGCAGAGTTGGGATGTCATTTCCTATGAGTTGTATGTCATCCACATACAATACCAAAAAGCTAACTATACTCCCACTAGCCTTGACATAAACTCAAGATTAATCTTAACTTCTAGAAAAGCCAAATTCCTTGACCTTTTCACCAAAGCAAAGATTCCATCTGCGAGATGCTTGTTTTAATCCATAAATGGATTTCTCAATCTTACACACTCTATTAGGGTACTCGTTGCTGACAAAACCTTCTGGCTGACTCATGTAAACATCTTCAGCCAACTTTCCATTAAGGAAAGTGGTTTTGATATCCATTTGCCAAATTTCATAGTCATGAAATGCAGCTATGGCTAACATAACCCTAATAGACTTAATCTTGGCTACTAGAGAAAAGGTCTCATCATAATCCACTCTAGGAATTTGAGAGAAGCCCTTTGTGACCAGTCGATCCTTGTAAGTGTGTACATTACCAACCATGTCGGTCTTCTTCTTGATGATCCATTTGCACCCTACTGTCTTACGAACTGGTACATTCTCAACCAAGTTCCAAATTTGATTGTCATACATGGATTGTATCTCGCTATCCATTACCTCTTTCCATTAAGCAGACTCGGGGCCTACCATGGCTTCCTCGTAGCTGTTAGGGTCATCTTGACCTACTAGTGTCCCACCACTAATAAGTGTCTCACCTTCTGCAGTAATATGGAAACCATAGTAATGCTCAGGTGCACTCCTAACTCTCATGGAACGCCTCAGAGGTACAGATTCGTCAATTGGCTCAACAACAGTTTCCTCCTCAAGTTGAGGGCTAGTGTTTGAAGTTCCTTCACCACTTGACTCTTGAATTTCTTCAAGATCAATTTGCCTCCCACTATCTCCTTGGATTATAAACTCTCTTTCTCGAAAGACTCATCTTCTTGCTACAAAGACCACATTATCACTAGGTCTGTAGAAGAGGTAACCAAAGGATTGTTGTGGGTAGCCGATGAAAATACACCTCTCGCTTCGAAGTTCGAGCTTATCATGAGTCTCGCGTCTCACGAAATCCTCACAACCCCAAATCTTGATGTGGTCTAGTTTGGGTACTTTACCAGTCCACATCTCGTGAGGAGTTTTGGCAACTTTCTTTGTAGGGGCTAGATTAAGGATATGGGTGGCAGTCTCTAAGGCATACCCCCAGAATGAGATTGGT